GTGGCGGTCGCGTGCAGACGAGGGTGGCAGAGAGGGCCGGCTGACAGATGACCGAGAACGAGGAAGGCGGGCGGTAAGGTCGCTTTGCGCGAGGACGAGGGATGCGACAAGGGCGAGGGAGGCGGTCGAAGCGCGACGCGGATCCCGCGCCGTCATGGACCGCGAGCGCGCGCTCTCGTCGGGGCGTGAAATCGCCGATCGCTGGGAGGCTGCGGATTGTGGGTCGCCCACCCGAGGGAGCCTTCGCTAGCCCGTCTTTCAGGAGAGCGACGGGAGGGCCGGCGCGGAAGCCGATATTTCCTTAAACTGAGGCCCCAACAAAATGTGATTTTTGATTGACACTTGTAAGGACTACAACATTCCCATTGAAACCGGACATGACAGTTTGTAATAAGTGCGAGAAAAAGGTGAGAGTTGCGATTGATTGGTTTTGTGGGCAAGAGTCGACGTGCTTTATTTTCGGTCCAAGCAATACGATAAGATGATACATCAGGTATTACAGCTTTCATCGCTTTGGTGTCCACATATCAAAGAAATTTACCTGTGAAAATCTTTACAAAAGTCACATCTAATCACGTCTAATTGTTAGTTATTTTGGGGTCAGAAATGTATGCATTAGAAAGTGCCAGATGAATGATATCAAATATAATAAATGATAATTATCGTGGGAAAATTCGTCGGCGATATCACACGTGTTTCGGGTCGTACACACTGTTTTATCATTTCATATGTTTAAATCCGTTTTATTTTTTGAAATGATCTCGCACATGCTTTTTCAAATTACATGTAAAGGAAACTGGCGTATGTATTAGGCAGCAGGTGTAATTTCGTTTTAATTCCGTTTTTCTATGCGGGTGATCCATTCCCTCTGTATGATATACGCTAAGGAAAGACGGTTTCATACTCTTTATAACAAAACATCGATACATAATGCAGTGAGTGTGCTATTGATAAATAGGAACTCCCCTCCTATTTATCCTCCTGCATGAAGCTGATTTGTGGTGAAAAAATGCAATACGATATAAGGGTAACTGGAAGCACACGTTATCTCCCGCAACACACTTTACACTACAATAGCCACTATTAAAAGATATGAAGTTACCGCTTTGACAGCTACTATTTGACCGCTGTTGGCAATATAACTGCAAGTTACATCCATGCAATCATTTTGTCAGTGCGTTCATTGACAATTTGCTCATTTGTAAATGGCATCATCACTATATCTTGCAATGTAATCGTCCTGCATGACGTTCTTTTGTTTCCCGATCTGTCAAAGTGTTCTCTTCATAGAATAACTCCTCTATACCATTGTGCTTGATCTTTTTGGACCTTTCAGTTCATTTCGGAGGGCACTTTCAAATGTGGGAAGAGATGTCTATTTTTACTTTTTAATAGACTAATTTACAAAGTGCGTAAAGTTCACACGAATACACATAGAATAATTTTTTTCTTCAAATTTATGAAACCTTTTTCTAATAATAACTATTTGTGAGAAAACCAAATAGGCTATCTTCTGAACTCTGGCTGACCCACCGTCGTACCGTCCGTACACAACATATCGTCACCTTTCAAGAATACTGTTGTATCACAACAGTCTTGTACAGGAGAGCGCAATTTCATTTTCCCGCAACTTCATTTTCGTCCCATTAATATACAATAAGTAATATGGCTTTGTAAGGCCTATCAAACAATTTTGTGTGTCTCTTGCTTTCTATTCCACTTGATTCTATAAATCTTTGAATCTTTTTTGGAACATTATTTTATAAAATTAAATGGCGAACTCCGTTCACGAAACAGCGAAGAATCCGGTACCAAGCGGCAATTAGTATAATATGAGATAAATATATGCTCAACATACAAATGATTTTTTAAGTTGGTATCCTTAAATTCCGAATTTTCGGATTTTTAGTTAGAACTACATTCCGGAAAAGCGACGATATGTTTCGGAGGCTCTTGAACAAAAGCGTGGCGGAGTGGAATGGCCGAGCGTCTTGGAGGGTGAAGGCCGTCGGAGGGGGGAGGGAGGCACCTGCCGCGGATGTAAGCTCCAATACCTGGCAAAATGGAGTTCCGCCGGCGCGGCGCGGCGCTGCGCTGCGCGGACGTTGCGTGGGGCGGCGCGCACGGGACGGGGACGGGGACGTCGCGTCGAGGGCGCACGAACGCACGCGCGTCACGCGACGGCGGCGGCGGCGCCCGCGGAGGAAGCGCGGGACACTTTTGGAGGAGGACCCACTTCGCCCGGCCGCTTCCCGGCCCGCCTTTAGCAGCGGCGCGGAATACCGTTGGCCGCGCCGGCGACGGCGACGCGCGAGTCGCAAGAAACGCGGAATGCGCGTGCTGGAATCGCTGGAAAAAACGGGGTGAACGCCGGGGGAGTACAACTAGGGGCAGCAGAGGGCGGTCCGAATAGTGTTGTGGAGAGATTACTGTAAAGGCGGCTTCATACATTCGGCGTTCGCCGAGAAGCGAGCTACTGCTCGCCCAATCCCGAACAGCTGAAGTGTTCGGCGTATGTTCACTCCTTTTGATTTGTCCTAAAGACCGACACGTGGTGGATAGGGCGATTACCGAATGTTCGGCACTGGCAAATCGCAAGCAACTCGTCCACACTACTCGGGATTCGGCGAGCGGTTGCTCGGGATTCACCGATTGCCGCATGTGTGGAGCCGCCTTAAGAAGGATTCGCTTTGACAACTACACCTTGGCCCCTGCTGCCAACATAACTGCAGGTTACGTTGCCAGCAGTGCAATTGTTTTATTAGTCCGTTCGTTTACGGATAACTCATTTTTAAATGGCTCCCTCACTATCTCTTGCAGTGTCATCGTTCTGGCATCGCACGTTCATTTGTTTTCCGGACAGGCAAAGTGATTCCTTCTTAGAGTAATTCCTCTATAGTGCACAAGGCGACAGATCTCGGTTTCTTCCATATTTTTGCGCGCGTGTGTGTGTGTGCGCGCGCGGAGAGGTTACGCTCGGTTCCTCGTGAATTTCTGGTCACGTTCTTTCTGTCATTCATTGTTCAATCATTATTCTTCAGGCAACTGAATCTTCCATGACAAAATCATTCTTTCGCCCTAGTACACCAAAGCTCACATAATCCCATAAGCAAATTAAATCTAATTTCATATAAACAAAGCATTGATAGAGAGGTTTGTACTTTTGATATAATTAATACGACACTAGAATTTTAGCAACAAAACGTAACATACTGAAACGCTGGTCATTTGAAATAGTCTGGCATTAAATAACAATAAAGGAAAGAATAAGGAATCTCAGTCTGAACATTCCAAAATCTGTGATATTAAACAATCACGTTGACATGTTTAATGGAAGCGCAGTTGTCCGACCCTAATGTTCCTTTAGTCTTAGGAGAATCATCAGTTCAAATTTGTTATTACGGTGTAAACTTTTTCTAGTATATTTTAATACTTGGGTTGTATTCCAGTAGATTCGTGAGTTGCTGAAAGATATCTGCCAACTTTTTCGCTTGAGTAGATTTCGGATCTCACGTCAAATTAATTCTAGATACCATTTCATTTTATTGTGTTACACAAGTTGTGGATATGCATTAGTAAGTTGCGCAGTTCGTAAGTGCTTTAAGTTACTTCTTGTGATTTTAAGGCTGTTGTGCAAATTTGCATGAGCACGACTGATGTTTGATGCACACATGT